TCTATCCTGGGAGAAAGAAGATTTAAGTAAGTTTAAAGATTAAAAAGAAAAAAAAAAACTTCTAGAAAACAGCGAAAGGGAGTTAAAAATGTTGGCTGTGGACAATTAAGGGGCCAGATGGATTTGAAAGAATAGTTTTTTTAAGGACTGTTTTAAATTTTATAAAAATAGAGCAGATGATTTTGGAATTAACTGTAAGAAAACTTACGGTGGGAAAGTTTTGGCTCTGAAAATAAAAGATAAGACTGGTCTTTTAAGGTTAACTAGAGGGAACCAGAGAGCAATTAAAAGATACTTCCTAACATAATGGAGGAACATGATTTTACTGTAGAAGAATTTAAATCTGAGAATAAGATGTTCAGGACTTATTTTTAAAATTGGATCTAACAGAGGTGACAGAAGAAGAAAAGATTCTACTGAATAAAACAGAAGCTAAAGATGCTTAAAGAACAGAGATTTTAAAATGGATGGTAAAGAATTGCCACCCTATAAAACAGATATGAAAGATATGGAAAAAGATGTTGTGAATTTGAAAATGGACTTAAACTTATTTGACTACAGGAGTGATATGGAGAAAGAAGTTGTATTGGATATACAAACTATGCTGGCTGATGTTTTAACAGTTAAAAAGCATATCCTGATTATAAATCAGAAGAGTGACTTGGAGAGTTATCTTATTTTGGATCCACAGAAGGGTAGTACTAAATCTCTGAAGTTGCTACTGAAAACAAACAGGGAGAAAATGATAAGAAATCACTGTATGGGACTTTATTTGAAGAAATGACTGAAGATTAAGCCTCTTAAGAAGAAGAAAAAGGAGTTCAAAGTGGACTTATCTGACCAGGGTCAAATTGTATAAATTTTGATTTTGGGTTGTTACTACTGGAATCTGTTTTTTTTTTTACCAGGATTGCAAGATGATGCACAGATTTTTTTCATATGAGGTCAAAACTTTTACCTCCTACTTGTAAGAGAAAGTTATAGGTTAGAATGTAAAAGGGATCTGTTGGATCTAGTTTAAAATATATATGTTACCATTACTAATATTCTTTATACCTAAGGGGATAAATCTTTTATGTCTTACTTATTAGAGAAAGTTATAAGTCAAAATGCAAAATAGATTTATTTGTCTAAGCATAAAACATATAGGTTACTACTACTGGTACTCTTAATGCTTTTGCTGAGTAAGACTAATGAATCTTTCTATAATTTGGTTATTGTTTAGTGATGAGAAATGGGAAGAAGAGTTGTTTTTTTAATTTCTGGAATATTAGAGAAGGTATTGAGTTACTGTAAATGCTTATACTTGTTTGGAGGGAGGGGGGATTCACTTTTTATATGTCTTTTTTCTTTTTTTTTCCTTTCTCTTGTTATCTTTCTTCTTTTTTGTTTATATATCTTTTCCAATTCTGTATTAGTTTTTAACTATTTAAAACTCTAATAAAAATATTATTAAAAAGCGCATAATGTACTGTTTTAAAAATGTTGATTAAATAGTCTTCTGTTCTAATATTTTTTCAGTAATGTCTGCTGAAATTTCTGATAGGTATAATTGCAGTATAGCATATAAGTGCATTTTTATTTTCAAGGCAGGCACCTTTTTTTGTCCAATTCATAGTTTTAAAATCAACACTTAGGGTAAGATTGAGCAATTTCTCCAAGATTTGATGGCTGCAACTTGTTCCTCCAAACAGTTGGAGAGTCTTAAGTGATCTCACCAAAAAGGTGGTGATGGTTTTGAGGGGATTTGAAGGGTTTTTGGAGGGGAATTCTGAGCGTAAATGGGAGCTGAAAGATTCCCAACCCCCAAATGCCTTGAAATCAGGCTGCCAAAAACAGCAAGAAAATTTTCTAATTCTAGAGCATCATTTCAGACTGCTTTGGGGGTGGGGTGGGGTCAGGAGTTTGGAGTGTTTTGCCTCTCATTTCCACCTTTAGTTTTGATGGGGGGAAATGCAGGGAGATTTCAGGTTATAGACTGAAAGCATGTTCTGAGCTGTTTATGTTGTTAAACTCACATTAGAAATATATGCAGTTTTATCAGTAGATGCTATGTTGTTTAACACCAAAGTACAATATAGGAAGTAATAAAGATGAAAGTTCTTCATTTTTCCTTTATAGGAAAAGTAAGCAAATTATAGCCTTCCAGATATCTCTGATAGAGGTTCTAGCATCCCTCATCATTGAGCATACTGGAAAAGTCCCCTGGAAGTACCACAGGTTGCCTACTTTCCTTTAATAAAATATATATAATTATCTGTTTCCTTGTTGAAAATAATGTGTCCTCTTGAGCCTTGTGGAGGCTGGCATATATTCCTGAAATAAGAACCTTTCCAGAAAGAGAAACTATCTTTATTCCTAGACTGACTTTCATAGTCTAAGTGGAATCTAGTAGAAAGGAAGCAGTAACCATAAATCAGGAAAAGAATAACTTAAAGTTATTCTTGCTCATAAAGCCATAAATCTAGTTTTAGTCTCTCGTATTGGTTGCAAAGGGTCAGGCAGTAGTACAGACAAAGCTCTGAAAAGCAGTCTCAAGTGTAGTACAGTAGTCCTTGACTTACAATTGCAATTGGGACTGGAATTTCCATTGCTGAGTGATGTAGTCATAAAGCAAGACACCACATGACTGCATTGCGTAGCAACGGCAATCCTGGCAGTCCTGGATTTTGCATGTAATTGTATTTAATGGAACTTATTCTTAAACAAGGAGGCCTAGGAAAGCAAACTAAATAGTTCAAAATGTTCACTTAAAGTGATATTTAAACAAAATCTATAACATATTCTATTTCTATTCCTATAAAGGTGAGAAGAACAGGAAGAAAATTCAGCTGCCATCTACAAAATGATTAGGATTAAACTTGGGCTTATTTTGTTTTATCTTTATTGGAAATAACCATAGAAGATTCTTTTCTGGATACTCAACCTGACTAGTCATCAAGCCAAAATTCTACCAGGTGTGGAGTTTAATATGGGCATGTGATCGTTGTAAAATACTTCTTGTGATTCTTTCCCAATTTTGCACGTGAGACTGCTAACATGTTTTGTCATGCAAATCAAGGCTCAGGTTGAACTTAATAAATTGTAATGAAGAGACCTGTGGTCTACCTTTTTGCCTTAATTGACAAATGTATGTTACAGATTTTACAGTAGACTTGCTATGTATACAGTATATTGACCCTAAATGCAGTAGATCGTATATGTCATCATTGGGTATTGTATTCATGCAGGTTATTTGGGGTCCTCCAAAACCACTTGGAAACTTTGGAGGATTCTCCAGTATACTGTAGATTAACAAGTACACAACAGGTGCCTGGATAAGGAGAGTAAGACAAATTCTTACATGTGAGCAGAGGTTGGCTAGCTTGAGGCTAGATTTAGTCTTCTGTCCCAATTATGTGATCATTTCCTTGGCTTGTCATTAAAAAAAAAAAACATCCTTAATTTGGGCTAATTTGATCCCTGTTATAAGAAATATGATAGTTCTCCAGTACATTTTTTGACTGAAGATTTAAGTGTCGGGTGGCTATTTTAATTAAGAACAATAAGAAATTATAAATTTAATAGACATACATGGAAATATTTGAAGCATTTACCCAACTCTCCATCACTGAATGCAGACAGTTGGCGCCTGTTATATTTTGTTGCTGCGTGAAAATTAAACTGATTGATTAGATTTGGTCTGGAGGCTCCACCAAAAATTTGGAAAGCAGTCAGGTCAAACCACTTCAGAGGCCACCTCATTTGATTTGGTTTGAAACTAGCAGTCTAAGACTTTTTCCTTCTCTGTTGATTATCATCATGAAATTAAGAAATGGTGATAGATTATTAAACTTTTTGACAGAATGGAATGAAATCTGCATGCATAGTAACCCTTCTCAGCAGAGGAAGCATTTGACATTTCAGACACACAGATCACTCATAGGGGGAGACACATCCATCTTCTCTTCCTTTTGTGCAGTTCATATGAAAGCTAAATGATGATCAGAGATTATCATTCTGCCCCTAGAAACCTGTAAATATAATTATATAAACACTTCTCTATGTAAGTAATATATACCCAATTTCAGAAAGAAATCTATAGTGGGTAGGTAATTTTTGTAAATTAAATAAAGATTGTGTTATTTAATAAGTATTTAATAATAATTCCTAGTTGTGTTATTTATACAACATGGGATGAGGTGGTGGGATAGACAATCAGGACATTCTAGAGGTTGATGACCTAGGACTTGCAGCATCCTTAGGAATTGGGGCCAATAGTGACAGATACTGAAAGTGGACATTCAACATTTGGAATGGCACAAATTACTGTTCCTAATCTGGAATAGAATATTGATATCAAACTGAAATGGAATCTCTAACTAGAACTAAAATAGCGTGGAGCAAAAAAGTGGGAATGGAGAGTAACATTTCTGAAGTAGAACTACTAGCAAACAATATTTAACAAATATAGACTGAAAGAAAAGCTAAATAAATAAACTGAGAATAGGATTTTAGGAAAATTGAAAAGCAAGAATTGGAAGAAAGGGTTGGATGGAAAAGAAGGAAACTATCTTAGAAAGACATGAGGAAGGTAACACAAGGCAGAACTGATGGCCACTGTAATCCTTTTTAAATACTTTGCAGGAGAGATTGAGTCAGGACAAGCTAGCATCATCATGACATCCCTTATACAGCAATTCCCTGCAATTAGTAGCTAGACCTGTCATGCATAAAACTATAACACATAATTTCTTTTATCTTTCCTCATTTCAGTATTTTTCTTACATAGAAAACCTGAGGAGACATTTTTGCATTTTTCCAGACATAATGTCAGTGTCTCCTTTTCCAAACTGGTTGTAAATTTTGACAAGACCTGAATGTGCTCTACAGCAGTTCAGAGTACTCTTTTATTACTTGATAAGAATCTTGAATCTATCCAGGACAGCCCAGTTTGACACACACCAAAAATGTAAATTCTAAATTAATGGATTCTAGCCAATTCAGATGTTAACACGGCAATGTAGGCATGTACTTGTGAGAACATATACAACTAGATAATATGTGTGAAAGTATAGGTCTTTCAAATTTGTAAAATGGGAACCATGACCTTTTTTTGGAGATTTGAAACTTGCAATATATGCAGTGTAGTTTTTATGGAATTCAAAAAGCAATAAAGAGTTGGGTTCATTAGGTTGAAAGCAGATGCATTAGTAGAATAATGGCAGTTTTGATCCAGTTAGTTACCAAGTGAAAAAGTTCTTCGCTAGATCTTGGCTGAAATAATATATTTCAGGACTTTTCTGAATTTTTTGAAAAAAAAATTACATTACTATTCTTTTCTAACTAGAGTAACCATCAGAGAGATTATGTGCAGCTATTTTTCATTTGAAGATATTCAAGTGGCTTATATTAGGATAATGCTAAACAGCAACAAAGATAAGGCCAGCAATTTTAAAATAAAGAATGATTAGGGTCGCTAGCAAAATAAATAGAAAGTTGGGGTGAATAAGTTTTCTATTTTTAACAAAGCATTCCAGTGGGGGAGCTCCCCTAATCTCCAGATGAGGATTGTTCCACAATGTTTCAACACCGTTACAGAAAATACCACCTCCATACTACAGCTGAGTTTATACACATAAGCTGTGATAAAGTCAACACAGTATTGTATCCCAAGAGCAAAGATACCTATATAAAAGTAAGCAGTGGAATATGCGGACAAGCTCTAATTTGAATCAGCGTAGAAAATTGTGATAATTTTAATTCAATGTTTTGGGAAGTGATCAGTTTGGCCTAAATTGCCTTGAGACTGAATCTCTGAATCAAATCTTTGCACAGCACTAGTAGGTTATTCCTTAGAAATGAAACAGTGTTACATTGTACTCTTGAAATTACTATTGGACAGCTTATGGGATAAATTTTAAATACAAGGAATTTAAAAAGTATTTTTAAAAATCCAATTTCTCTTAAGGAATAAGTTTGAATATGTTTAATAAACAATGTTATCTTTAAATTATGTAAATATGTCTTGAAATATGTTTAATAAACAATGTTATCTTTAAATTATGTAAAAGTATCTTGAAATACATCTGTGAAGTTAATTCATTATGATTTCATTTTGATTGCAATGCAAAGAGTTACCTTGTACAATAATTCTAATTACCATGTACAATAAATTAATTACCTTGTACACTAAATAACTCTAGAGAACAATTCAAATTTTTCTGCACAGATTTATCTCTACTCTCTAAAACATTGAATTTACTACTACTGTTTCTGCTTAAAGTACATACATTTCTATATTTTAATGCATTTATAATGACAAGAATGAATGCATTACTTTGATTATTGCAACTTATTCACAGAATGAGTGCTGCTCTCAAAATATTGTCTAGATGGCACTGTACACCTATTCAACCTGTATTTATGGATAAATGCCTTTGCTGTGCAGGATACATGTCTTGTGAGTTTATTGTGCAAAAAGAGAGATTGTGGATGTAAAAATGATACATTGCTCGCCAGGAGATGTGAAAGCACAAGCAAAACATAGTTTAATATTGCATTTCTTTAAAATAAAAGTTACCAACTTTTTGATATAACTATACTGAAGAACAAATAATAATTTTAACATTCCGTGTTAAAATAAAGGCTAGCAATCATTATAGTTTGTATGTTTTCATTTGATAAAGTGTTATAAGTTTGTTATTTGGAAAGTATAAAAACCAATTCACTGCAATAAATAACTGGTTCCTTTTTTTTAATATGATTTTTATTGAAACTTTAAAAAATATTAAAAAGTAATAAACTAATATAAAGTAAAAAAGAAAAAAAAATCAAAGAGAAAAAAGTGCAAGAAAAGAAAAAAAAAGTTGAAGAAAAATAGAAAAGGAAGAAAAAAGATACAAAGAAGTGGCTTCCGATATTCTTCACAGCAGTTATAAGTGCAATTTTTTTTAACTTCTCTCTAGAGTTATATCATAATACTCTTCTTTCTATGATCTAGTCTGGCTAATCATCAGAGCAGTAAATCACAAGTTCATTTTTTTTCATTTTTATGCAAAAAGTCCATAAGAGTTTTCCAGTCACCAATAAATGTAGGTAGTGCCTTTTCTCTAATCAAAAAAGTTAATTTATCCATTTCAGGAAGATCTGTGATTTCACCAACCATTCCTCCATAGTGGGTAGTGTTGAAGCTTTCCACCTCTGTAAGAAGCAAATGGTTCCTGGTAGTGGACCAGCATTGAATAATATGTTCAACCGTATACATTTTACTCTGAGTTTGGAATTGACTAGATTATGTCTACCTACAGCCTGGTAGGAATTCAGGTTTTGTAGGTATCCCTTGTTTTTAATACTTGCTAAGTAGGAACTAAGCTGTTTGTGAAAATATAGATTCAGCATAGATCCACTTTAGTTTTGTCTATACAGTGTAAGTGGGAACTGCTAATGAAAACTTCCATATTGGTTGAAGATTCTGAGGATAGCTTGTTTCTTTAGGGTGTCTTATATATAGTATGATTAATATAATGGGCTTCAATTGTAGGTCAGAATTTAAAAGCCCAAATGTGCTCCATATGATTTCATTCCTTCATGAGATGAAATCTTTGAAGTATAATCAACACTTTAAAAATTATCAGCCTTGCAACTCATAAGTTGAGGGAGGAATATGGAGCAGTAATCATGTACAATTTTTAAATAGGGAAGGTGATAGGTTACATGGATCAAATTTTGAAATCAGTCTCAAACTTTAATCATCAGTAATTTATTTACTTTAAATCAGCAAAAAAAAAAAAGCTATTTATGGATACTGAGTGACTACATATAATATAACATTATTTTAATTGCCAGAAAATTGGTATATTTACATGATGGTTTCATTCTGGGTTTGCCTATTTGTTTCTCTTTTTAAAGATGGATGTAAATGAAGTTTTTGTATCATTGCATTATTTTTTAATTGATTTTTATCCACTCCGTTGCTTTTCTATTTATAGAAACATGATTCCTGTATGTTAGAGCTTATAAAGAGATTTTAAAAATAGTGAAAGTATTTCTACAAGCTGAAAGGTTGGACTAGCTTGGCTCTTCTTGAATATGAGATAGGGAGATAGTTTAGAGGAAGAAAGTGAAAAATATCCATTTGGATTCTGCTTGGACTTCATTACATTTATATTAAAGAAATGCAACATTTTGTGTTTATACATGGTTTTTCAATCAGAAACTTTGGTTGTACTATCTTTAAAGTGCAGACCCCCACTTAATGTTAATGTTTCTCCAAGACCAATAATATGTTTCTCAAAGATCATTTTTAAAATAACCTTTGCAAGAAAATATGTTGACAACTCATACAGAGCATCTAACCTTCTGTTCGCCATAAATCAAAGCCTAAAATGTTTACAGTGCTGCTAGATAGCACTTAATATTTTTTGTGGTAGTTTTTCCACTACTGTATTTCATTTCCTATCTTGTGGTAAAGCATCGATTCCCAAATAGCTTCTGTTTTGCAAAAGGCTTTACCTCCAACATAATGAACATGTCTAAAATACCATTATCTGTATTTTTAAAAGGTGCTGTCTTCCGGCTAACAAAGAAGATGAACAAGGATGCGGGTGGATGTCGAAGTGGAATTTTTAGATAGGAAAAATTCACAGACATGCTAAAATAGTTATGAAAATGTTTAGCTGTTGAATTTTCTGCTGATACAGAATCCAGTGGTAGGCAAAGGATTAAGAGAAAAATAATGTACTTTTTTGTTTTGGATGTCTTATAGCCAATTTATAAGTATGCCGTTCCTTATGCTATTACTGCAAAAATGTCTTTGGATTTGTTGATTCCTGTTAAGTATCAGTAATTGTATGATTTTATTAGTACAGTTATAGTTTCTAACATCTCCAAGTATTTGCTATATAACTTGAAAGCTTTAATGAGTTTTCAAAATTAATATGAAGTTTTTATTTTCTGTATTAGGGCAATGGAGAATGTTTGTGATGCAGTTTATCTCTTGGTTAATGCCTGAGATTTACGGCAAAAGAAGTTTCTTGTAATAGGAAAATTTTCAGTCAACCAATATATCATAATGATGTTTTTTCATGCATATAAGCATTCTAAGTTTTTCAAATTAAATGACCCAGTACTGGTATCCAGTCATAGAAAATCAATTTGAGGAAGATTTGTCTTTCATCTGTGCTAGGAGCTCTATGACCAAATGTTAACACTCTAAGTTGAGTTTCACTATAATGAATTTAGAATAATTTTGAATACAAATTTTATATGCACGGTTTAAACCTAATAGATTATTTGTTGTTAAGAACAAATTCTTCCACACAATCAAAATGTAATCCAGTAATTAGCGATACCTTAAAAGCTAAGCAAAATGACACAAAAAACAAGCCTTTATTAAAAAGAATTCAGTTCAAGTCTGTAGAGAAAAATTTCCACAGGTGGAGTTGCTTCAACGAAGAATGTCCTGCGCTGTGTGTCCAGCAACGTGAGTAGTGGAACACTAAACAAAGAGTCTACAAAGCAGATTTTAAATTGCAGGATAATATATATGGGAAGAGATGGTTTTTCAAATGCCTTGGAATGAAACTGATTAAGGTTTTATAGGAAATAAGTTGTCTCTGGAACCATGCTGGCAGGCAGGGCAATTGATATAATTGCCTTTGGGTCTGGGAGCAGTTTGCTAAGCACTTTGAGAACAAAATTGCTCCTATTTGCTCTGAGCTGGATACCAGATGGGTAGTTTCATAGGAAGACAAAGGTACCATCTTGTGAGGTCATCTGGGGCTCTCAAACCTGTGATACCTGAGGAAGTTGACAGAGTTCTCTGGAAAGAACTCAGCTTTAAATTAGACTTTTTCCTCTCTTGAATAATATGGGTGGCCAGAAAGACACTCTGACATGGGTATAGTCCGTGGTGATGCTGCTTGTCTTGAAGGATTCTGTGGTGTGCCCCCTCCTTGAGCCACCCCTTGACCCAGCCTTTGTCTAGCCCCCAAACTATCATTCCTACATCCAAGCCTGTTAGAGGTTAGTGAAAATAAAGTTGTAATTTTTTCCCCCATCGAAGTTCACAGACCCTATAAATCTAACTACAGAGCCCAAGGTCCCTGGAACCCAGGTTGCTGAGCAGGGCTGAATGACGAGGCTTTAAAGATTTGTTTATAGATGAGAGATGAGATATGGGAAGAAGAGATCATTTGATGTATTTTAAGAGAAGGTGATAAGTTACTAAAATTGTTTATACTTCTTGTGATGAAGGGGGAAGTCATTTATATATCTTTTTTTCCCATCTTTTGTGCACTTTCTACTTTAGTTTAATCCTATTAATCCGAGTTCCTTTTGTTTAATCTTGTTTATAGATGAGAGATGAGATATGGGAAGAAGAGATCATTTGATGTATTTTAAGAGAAGGTGATAAGTTACTAAAATTGTTTATACTTCTTGTGATGAAGGGGGAAGTCATTTATATATCTTTTTTTCCCATCTTTTGTGCACTTTCTACTTTAGTTTAATCCTATTAATCCGAGTTCCTTTTGTTTAATCCAATTTGCATTTATAGCCATACATACAAGAAAGTGAGAATGAATTAAACTTTGGCTCATATTTTGCCCTTATAAATCCTATCGGCAGAACCAACTCCAACTGTATTGAGGACTTATGCTCCAGGTGATCAGTGCTTTGTCCCTCTTTAGAGGTATTCTCCTTGCTTACTCAAAATGAATTTCTCAACGTAGTGTTCTAAGAGAGCATTTCACATAGGAAGCACAAATCTATTTCAGATTACAAACTGTGTCTCAAGTGCACACACTTTCTGTTTTGAAGAAAGGCTTGGGTCAGCACTTAAATCAGGGGTTCTTAACCTGGATTCCAGGGACCTTGGGCTCTGTAGTTAGAATTATGGGGTCTGTGAACTTAGATGGGGGAAAAAATTACAACTTTATTTTCACTAATCTCTAACAAATGTAGCTTTTCATTCAATAATGTACATAGGCAACAAAGTAATTTATGGCCTGTAGACTCCAAAAATATTTGCTAAATTAATCTATCTAAAATTATTGTACCTTAAAAAAGCTTACTGTCTTATTATTGATTTAATGGATGTATAAATAAGTACATATATTACTATATTTGTTATTTTTTAATATCTTGATAACTGTATTTGACCATAATTGGATTCCTTTCTAATGAAGTCTATGTATTTTATTTTATGCATTTAAAAATTTTTTTTTTCTGAGAAGAGATCTGTAGGTTTCAGCAGACTCCGAAAGGGGTCCATGGCACAAAAAAGTTAAGAAATCCCAAATCTAAATGGACACTGGTCATTTAATGCTGCCTCTGATTTAATCCAGCAAACTTTACAAGATGTGAGCAATAGTTGTACAAATATTGGCAAGTAATTTTTCAAAAATACTCTTAAACATACTTTATTTAGTCATTTTTAGGCTACCTTAAAGGCAAGAACCTTCTTCTCTACTTCCAAAATAAAAAGTAGATAACCAAAAATTAATGCAAAGCAGCAATAGTAGTACAACATGCCTCTAGTGATCCAGCAGCCAATGTGGTTGATAACAAAAATATTTATAAACATAAGCAGATCACCTGGCCCTCATATTCAGGATAATCTTCAAAGACAGTTCTGTGAAGGGTACATTGAAATTGCAGATGCCCAAACTGGTAATAATCTTAAGTTATCCTCAGGTAATGGTTATGTCT